ACCAAAAATTCCTTGCACGTGCTCGGAATTTATTAATTATTATTAATCGTGTACACTCATGATGATCGACAGTTTGCTCAGCTTTATCTTTGGTTTTATGCGTCAAACAAGGACAAAAATACCACTGTTCGAATCAGCGTGAAAAGTTGTGTTTACGGATGGAAATTAATTTCAAAATTGACTTCTATTCTAGGTATTTGTCGCCTTTGAAAGACAAAAGCCGCTCAAAATAATCCTTCACGTTTTCCGAATTCCTTTTTTCGAGGAAAGTTTTCTGTTTGCACCATAGATATCTTATCTATGGTTTGCACGTTTTATTCCCTTTAAATATACGACATCGGGTACTGTGATTTTCATTAAAATATCATAATTATCTTTCAAATACAATACTTTCATGCTTCACGATTTTATACATTAATCTCACTCAATTAAATTTAAATATGTTGCCAACAGCATTAAGACGAAAATCGGAACAAGACCAACAAATTACCTGACTCAGACTGAGTAATTTGCTCTTTATCAAAACATCACTGTTCTCCAAAATGTCTTCAGTGAAACCGTGATCAGTACTCTGACTCGATCCAAAAGTTACCCACTATGATCATCATCATCACCATCATCATCACCATCGCTGAGTGGTTATATTACTACCTGAAACAAACAAGCAGAAACTCGACGTTTCGAGCGAAGGCCCTTCGTCAAGAGTTAGTAGCCTTCGCTCGAAAAGTCGAGTTTCTGCTCGTTTATTTCAGGTAGTAGTATAACCACTCAGCACAGAAATTTCACATTGGTACTACCACTCTGGTACAGACCGTTTCTGTTTTCCATCGCCTTTAATCTTCAAATAATTAGGGTAAATATGTTATCTAATTAACAACATGAAGTCGCAAATCGGAACAAAGGCCAGCAGATGATTAACACGATGTGGGTATATAGGTTTCTCGCTCAACCTGAACTCGGAATCTTTCTTTCAGCTGGTTGAAAGAAACGTTTTACTTACACTGTGTTATTCCTACAACCTCGATCTACACTGGACCCCCACCTTGTTCAAGTTATTACAACAGATGATTACCTGATCTTATCAAACCATCACTGCTCTTCGAAAATTTTAGCAGCGATATGTCATATAAAACTTCTCCGAGTTCAAATTTAGAGAAATCTTTTTACCAACATCGTGTTAATCATCTGTTAGCTTTTGTTGCGATTTGCGACTATATGTTGTTAGATTACATATTTACCCTGATTGTTTGAAGATCAATGGCAATGGAAAACAGATGATGATGGACAACTTTTGGAGTCAGAGCGGATGACGGCACGATGACGGTTTCGCTGGAAACATTTTTACAAGCGTAGCCAGGTTGGGGGTCGCGGCGCCTCCCTGGTAAAATTTTGGCGCTCCCTGAGAAAATTTATTCTATAAAAAGAAGTGAAACATGGCCCCACCTAGGTTTTTGCTGCCCCCTCACCAAAAATCCTGACTACGCTTCTGGACATTTTGGAGAGAAGTGATGTTTTGATAAAGAGCAAATTACTCAGTCTGAGTTGGGTGATCTGTTGGTCTTGTTCCGAATTGCGTCTTACCGCTGTTGGATGACATATTTAAATTTACTTGAGTGAGAATGGACAGTGTGTTGCGGAAAAACAGTGTGTAACCAGTCACTGAAAAACTCTGATAGGTAGCGTGCTGTGCAATATCTATATCTGTATCTGTAAAAGCTGTTAATGCCAATTAGATAAGACGGAAACTCCCTTTCTCTTGGTATGTGCGCGTCGTATGCGCAAGTTATTAGGGAGTTTAAGCTTCACGTTTGCGGGAACAGCAAGACTGACTTTTCTTGGCATGATGTTCGTTCGATTTCTGCGTGTCATATTTTCTTCCAAATGGCACAAGAATAGTTAAGCATTCTAGTTATAAAACAACAAGCCCATTTACTTTTTATTGCCTTATAGCGTAAATTTTTTCTTTGCCTGACGTTTGTCGTTGAATGCGAAGCTTAAGTTCTTTAATATAATTAGATTGCAAACGTCACGCAATGCTGTTGGATAAAAAACCTCCTACAACCTACTAAGCTGTTTCCTTCTTTGTTTTTTTGATGAACTGAGAATTTTTTATGGCACAAATATATTGGATTGGCGAAAAGGCGTTCGTGATAAAGAAGTGCATGATCAACAACGTAACACGAGTGTTTGAACACGAAATTGGTTGATACAAAAACCGAGTGCGTAATGAAGTTCCAGTCAGCTTAGAGTTAACCTCCGCTCTTTCTCATTAATGGATTAGATGCAAAGGAAATAATAAACAACGACCCTGGACTAATAAAATTGACAGGAAAAGATCTAGAAAATAAATAAGATTGTGAACACCAAGTAAAACTCATATTTAGCATCCCCCCCCCCATTCCCCACACCTTTCTCCTGTAACCAATTAATTAATGTCTAAAATCGTGAAGCATGAAAGTATGTATTTGAAAGATAATCAATTAATTATGATATTTTACTGATATTTACAGTACCCGATGTTGCATATTTAAAGAGAATCAAACTTGCAAACAGACTTTTTGTACGTATTAGAATTACCCCCCCCCCCCTATTAAAATGATAGAGAAATTACGGTATGCGTGGTCTAGAATGTTTAGGATTATGATAATATTTAAAGCTTGAAAACAGATTCGCTTGTAAACGTCATGCAATTGCTGTAGTATAAAATAAGTTAAATAACAAAAAAAATTGGAATAAGTTGTTATAGTAATGTTGGCTTGGAAGTGTTCCTGGCCAGGGCTCGACACGGTAAATTGCTCAGAATGTTTGGAAAAGACCATTAAAATGCACAAGACATAAAAATATCATATATTTTTAAAACACTCCGACGTCATCTTGTTTCAGTTCAGCCCTTCTTTCGCACATTTCATAATTCTTTTCTTGTCCAGGTTTCTCCAGTTCTGATTGAGATCAGGTTTTGTTATCTGCGCGTGCGTATTAAGTGTTTTGTGGTCAAGCGCATGCGTATTTGCAACACAACAATGGCGGTTCAAGGATTTCGAAATACGACGAAGGATGAACTTTGGAGTGGTTGTACTTCAATTTGTGCAACTATTTCGCTTGGGGGGATGTGGATTCTAACTAAGTAAGTTCTAATCTATCCATTCATGTAAAAATTATGTAGTTACACGAGGGGTGCTACGGAATCTGTTTTCTAAGCATATTTTCGACCCTCATCTCACGGCCTAACGTAAACATTAAGGAGTGAGAAAGTTAAAACGATACCAATCGAGTTTTAGAGCTTTGGTGAACATTTTAAAAGAATATATGATAAATTCAAAGGTAAGTCTATCGTATTGCATTGTCTTAAATGAATTCTCAGCTAAAATACGGCAATAAATGGATCATAAACTTAGTTAAATTTACTGTTGACAGATCCATTGCTTTTTTACCTTGAATAACTTTACCATAGTCATTTTACCTTAAAATGTAGCTGCTGAGGGTATCTCTAAGGCCCGTTTCAGACGGCGTACTTCTCATGTGCCGAACTTAATTGATGAATTAGGTACGGCAGAAGAGCGACGTATGAATCAATTAAGTACGGCAGAATTTGGAGCGGCAAAAGTTTGACACAAGTTTGGCAGAGCTTGTCGCATTATGCATTATGCGACGTTGGAGCGACATTGATTCATACGCCGCTCCACTCATGTGCCAAAACTTAATTCAACTTTGGTCTAAAAATAAACTTATTTATTTTGAATTTTATTGAGGTTTCGCTGGCGAATGCGCCCCGACCTTGTCAATAACATTGTATTTGGTACGCCGTTTGAATCACTGCCGTTCTTGTGTCGCATCTAATACAGTTAAGTTCGGCACATGAGAAGTACGCCGTCTGAAACGGGCCTAAGAGATTTACACAGATTTACATACAATCTTACGATTTAATCATGCTGATAACATAAAAATCCTTGTGCCATTGTATACTTGGCATAATCTCTACTTCAATAGCTCACCAGTTCAACACTTATAAATTCAATATATTTTTGAACCAGTCCATATATTATTATACACAATGTACTGTAGTATAGTTAATTTGAACATTGAGAAGTAAGGGTGTATTACATTACACAGACACTGCTGAATTTTAGGTTACATGCCATTGGATTGATATATAAAAAAGCATTTGTAAAAACACACATTATCTTGTTGATAGGATAGTTATTTGCAGTATACTAACTGTTGGCATACTCTATTTTAGGGCTGTCAATTGTTTTTGTCACTGGCAGTCTTTGAAATACAATCTTGCTTTGTGGCCTTTACTGACAAGTTGGCTTTTACTACATATGTGGCACTGACACTTCTTTCATTAATGCACCAATCAATGTAAACCCCCCAACTGGGGAGGGGCAGGGATTTTGACCTGGAGGGGTAGTAAAAGAGCGAAATTGTCCCCGCCCCCGGGGACATCAATGCCCCCTGCATGTCTCTCAACCCCGGCAAAATAGTTTTGTATAATCATAGATCAGCCATAGAAAATCAAGTTCATTTATTTTTTTGTATTTAAACTTTTCTTGTCAAAAGAACTAAAACAGCAACACAGGATATATATGTTAACCACCGTCCAAGTCTCCCATCATCGGGGACAAATTTATAATCAAAACTGACCACTTTCCCCGCTAAACCTCCCGCCCCTCC